CTTGAAAAAAGGGCTAGGTAATAAATTATCCAACTATATAGTCTTTATTTATAAACTTGTGTCATAAGCATTTTGCATGATATTAAAAACCTTTTGTTAACACTATTTTTAATGTCATTATGTAGCTATGTCCTATTTTTCACTATTGAGGTAAATTTAGGTATTTCCTACTTTTTCAATATTACAAATAATAGTTGCATTGAAGATTTATTGTAATTAGCTCCCTCCAAAAGTAGGATACTTCTTAGAATAGATTTTTAGTCAAAGGATTTGAACATCTGTAAGATCCAAATATGCTATTAAATTATATATGTCCAGAAATATTGTACGAATTTCTATTTCCATTGGCAATATATGAGAGTGCTGCTTTTACCATACCTTTGTCAACATTAAGTATGCTTTTATTGCAATTTTTTCTCAGAAGTTTGGTATGGCTGCATGTTTTTAATATTCTAAACTACATTCACAAAGCCCAGATAGTGCAAATCAAAAGCCAAATCTGTTCCTAGCCATTGAACTTTTTAGTATTGAGAATTCTTATATTAACAATAATAATAGCACTGATGCTGTGACTGCAACTCTGCTAGAGATTATATACATAAAGATCAAGTCTCTAAAACCAAAAACCAAACACACTGCCATAAAGATGATTCCAACTCACAGTGACCCCTATTGGGTATCCAAAGCTGTAAACCTTTATGGAAGCAGACTACCTTATTTTTCTTCACATGGAGCAGCTAATGGGTTCAAACTACCAGCCTTTTGGTTAGCAGCCAAATGCCTTAACCACTATACTACCAGAGCTCCTTCAAGTCTCCAAGCAGCTCTGTGTTTTGGTATTATTATTCTAACAGTTAAGGAGCCCTAGAGAGGTAAAGTAACTGGATCAATGTCACAGCACTAGTCACCTAGTGATGATGAAACAGAAATTTGCACCCAGGCTTTTGTAACTGCAAGACTAGTGTAGAGTGTGCTTAAAACATCTGGTTAGCATTACTAGAAAAGTTAAATAGATTTTCAGAATGGTTTACTCATAGCTGTAGCTCAGTTTAAAGTCAAAGTGTATTCTTTCATATATACTATTTTATATTTTTGTCATTCTCAAAATTTACACCTGGCGTGGAAGTTTACTTTTTATGTCATATTAATGCCTTTCAAAGTGGCAACATTTAGGCTTATGGATTTTAGTTGTAGTTACAATATTAACAGGCAGCTCAGTGTCACTTGAAGAATTAGCTAATATATATATATCTGGTATAAATGAAATAGCTATTTGAAGTGTGAATGTATCTGTAACTTTGTGATGGGGAAGAAAAATATTAATAGATTTTAACTTTACTTTTTTAATATTTATATATTATTTATATTGATCAACCCTCAGAGTAATGGTTGGATGAGAACCTGTCTCAAATCTTAATTATAAATTAATTTTAAAAATTATAGTCAAATTTTCATACAAATTTGCAGTTTTCTTCTTTATACACTTTACCTAAAATGCTTATAATGCAAAATACACATTTGTAAAGATTTACATTTATGAAAGTATTCACATTTGGATGTAACTTTGATTTTCTTTATATAAAGTTATATGAAGTAATGAAAAGGATAATTACAAATTAAATTGTGATCCATATAAACACAGTGTTTTCTCTTCATGCAATAATAAATTTCACACCATATGCAATGTCTTTGGCTTCTTTACTTCAGTTTTTAGCATATGACTCACTATCATGAGAGATTTAATGAAAATTGACTGAGAATAGACTCCATCGAACAATCTAGACCAGAACTGAAACATTGATGCACCAGAAAGATGAGGTGGTAGTGACATGGACTTTGGGTTAGAAAGACTTGATTGGAATCATTGCATTCATGCATAATTCCTGAGTAGGTCTGGCTGTGTTACTTTATTTTTCTGACCCTTTGTTCCTCACCTCTAAATGGAGATAGTAATTTTTACCTCTTGGAGTTATCACAAAGATTGAAATTATGCCATAGAAAGGACTAACAGATGCCTGGAGTGTACATTCCACTCCCCTCCCCTTACAGTGGCAACCAACACTGGTTGATAACTGTATTCTTTCTTACTGAACCTAAGTTCAGAATTGAATCTTGCTTTTAAAATGTTCTAGACCATCACCAACAACTAGGTGGACTTGACATGGGAACTAAAACCTATTTAATATCCCTGTAATAGTTATACATTAGATATGTTTTTTTTTACTACCACCTCCAACTTGTTTGGATTTGTATCATTTTCCATTAAATAAAAAAGCTACAGTAGCAATTCTAAAATTAGTAATGGTAACCATTTAGACCTGATATAGAAAGGTGCGGGTTTGTTTCAACATTTGAATCTGTGTCACATGAAAAATACTTTTACAAAATTATATTCTTTCTCTATTTACTAGTTTAGTACATATTCTAAATGTCTTTTGAGCTAAACAAGTATTGAGTTTTCAGAATAAAACAATAAAAATCGTATTTTTGAAAGCTGGAAAATAGTGTGACGAAGATATGACAAATGCTATTTTATTTTAGGTATAGTAAAAACAAATGTCTTTGATAATTTATGCAAAATGACTAGAAAACTTGAGCTTGTGTATTTTGTTTACTCATACAGTTCTTTTCCTTATAAAATGTTTCTTAAAACTGTAATAGCAACAAAAGAAAAAAGATATGTTGGGCCTTGACATTTTCAAGGAACATATTTATCTTTTAATTAGAAAATTGATGTCTTGTGGAGGTATCTTTAGTTACCACTGCCTAACCTGATTATAGGAGCTCTGGTAGCATAGTGGCTAAAGCACTTGACTGCTAACCAGAACGCTGGTGGTTCAAACCCACCAGCCGCTCCTCGGAAGGAAGGTTGGGCAATCCTACTTCCGTAGTGATACTGCCTCGGAAACCCAAGGAAGGGTTGCTATGAGTTGGGGCCGACTCAACGGCACACAACAACAACAACAACCTGATTATACCAAACCCCCAAAATTGTCTTTTTCTCCCTAAGAAATTCTTGAGCGATTTCCTATTTCTGGTTGGTATATAAACACTGAATCATTTTCATTCAGCATATTTTTATGTAGTGTTCACAAACATGATTATACTGAAGTATTGCATTACAGTTTCACAGTAAAACAATTTATAGTATCAAAACAGTAGCTTAAGAAGGTGAGAACTAGAAGTGGATGTTCTCTGCACTGGAAGTATCATGGTTTTTGAAATGAGCTTGAAATGAGTTTGAAAATATGTTAAGGTACTGAGTGTTTTGTTGCTGGTTTTGTAACTATTGTAACCACATTAATCAGCTGAAAATTTCTGTTAAAATATCAAGGTTATTTCTCAAATTCCAACCCCCTCTCATAACCACTTGGTATTTTTTTGGCCAATCTTCAATCCCTCTGCTTAACCCAAATGACAGGTTATTTAGTTTGTTTAAATCCAACTTATAATTTTCCTCTCCTTTCTTCTTCTTCTTTTTTTAAAAATCTTGCCCTATTTAAGATTTTAAAACCTCAAAATTATAAGTCAAATCACATTACCTGTGTGAATTCTTTGTTAACTGCTGTATACAAATAATACAGACAAATGCTGGATATTCCATATGCATTTACTGCGGAAACTGGTCCTCCTCCATAGATAGACACTGTAACATTGAGGGCACTTACCTGCAATGAAAACCAATGGGAAGTAGGAAGTAGAAAGAGTGGAGCTGCAAGGATGCCTGCTTGTAGGTGAGATTGCTCAGTGGGGGATGAGGTTGTCCTATTCACAGTGCTAATCAGTGGACCCAGAAATGCTAAGTCAGGTGTTGCTTGTGAGTCTTGGGGGTTATTGGCTTTGGAGAAAGCTGCTGGACTTAGATGAAACCCTTTTCTTCCCTCTTGTGCCAAGAAATGCTTTGCTTGGTGTTTAAAGGGGATGGAAAACCCAATTGTGAATATTTTAGAGAAGAATTTGTGCCCCTTACAGGCATGATTATTTTAGGGATGCATCAGTGAAGACGCTTGGGCAGAGCACAGTGGTTTGGCTCTTAGAGTTGCTTTCTGGAGGGGGGCAGCTTTGTCACACAAATAGACTGTGTGTTTTCTACCACAGTAAAAGCTTGACTGCTACAACATGGGGGTAGATTTATCTTCCTCATGTTTGCATCTTTGAAACCAAATGTGGTAATTGGCACATGGTGGGTGTTCAGTGAAGATCTTTTGCACTGTTCTAGACTGAACTGAAGGCTGGCAGTATAGACTCATGGTTTCCTAATGTTGTCTGAGTAGTTACTACTCAGCACCCCTTGAGCCAGCCCACAGGGCCACATGTGCTTTGGTCTGGTGCTGCCTTTGTGAGTTGGAGTAGTACCTGAAGAGCTTAATAAGCTTTAACTAGAGAGTCAGTTTCATTTAATGAGCTTTGGTGAGGAGCCTGGGCTGAGAGGTCACATTTAAAGTAGTTCTGGCTCTCCCAGAAGCTGATATGGTTTATTTAGGAAAGAGAGGTCCTCTAGGGAGGTAGCGTGCTAAAGACAGTACTAAGGTCTTTTCTTTGCAAATTTTCCGTAAGTTCTGAAATGCTCCATCCACGTGGCTCCACAGTGACTCCCTTGACATTCCTGCTGTGAGGCCGAGGATGGTTTGCTTTTTAGTTTTCAGTTTCTGGTAAGGGGAAGTCGGGGCAGCACTGTGCTATGAGTATGGCCAAGAAGGTTAATGGTGTTGTTTTCTTGGGAAGCACATGGACAGGGGAGGTGGTGTTATTTTAGGCCAACTGGAAGGAAAAATATTTCATTATAAAAACATGAAGCGAAAATATTTTATTTCCATGCAGCTATTTTTAGGAAATATAAACTAAGTAAAAAATAGTTGCCTGACTTGCAAATTATTGGTTTCAAAGTTAACTTTTGAACTCAGTTTATTTTCCATTTAAAAACCATTATGCCTAATGCTTAGTGCCTAATTAGAAGGAAACTTGCTAGAATAATAATTGTACACATTTATCTTACTTAGTTACCTGTTGTCTTTGTTTCCCTTTTGGACCTTGCAGGTACAACAGTGCCAGCCCACAGGGCCATCCTGGTGGCCCGTTGTGAAGTGATGGCTGCCATGTTTAATGGTAATTACATGGAAGCAAAGAGTGTTCTGATTCCAGTTTATGGTGTTTCCAAAGAGACTTTCCTGTCATTTTTAGAGTACCTATACACAGACTCCTGTTGCCCAGGTGAGCAATATAAGTGTTAAATATCTCACAGTCCATTCTTTCCTTTTCAATGGTGAAATCTGTTTTTGTTTAAGGTTTATCAGAGTTGACATCATGGAATGTGCTAAGCAGTTGGCAGTGGTATTGGTGCATGTAAAAATGACTAGAGGATGATGTCTGACCTCCTCTAACTTCCTGAGGGGTGTGGGGGAGAAGGATAGAGATCAACATCAGCAGCCCAAGCCTGATTCCTATGAGGCGGAAATTAGACTTGACACCAGTCCCCAAACTTTTCACCAATTCTGACACCAACCGTCCTTCCTACACACTCTTTACTTTGCTGCTGAATTCAATGAAGTCATTGCAAAGGCCACAGACAATTGCAGTTCATTGCAGAACTCACAGATAATACTCAGAACTATGGGGTTTATTAGAGAAGTAACAAATTATACTTTGATCAGGGCAGCCTCCCCTCAGCCACACCCAAAAGGCAGGAGAATATCTCTCTCTCTCTCTCTCTCTCTCTCTCTCTCCCCCCACCCAGCCCCTTGGACTGGATCTGCCCTGCTTGGGCAAGTGTTACAAAGCTCTCTTAGTTCTGCCAATAGGTGTCAAAGAGGCAACCCACTCTGCCAGCGAGTCTTTTGCCTGAAGGCACTTAGCTTTCTCACAATGTGGTCCAGGAAGCCCACCATTCTATCTTGTGCCAGTCTCTTGTTTCTGCTACCACCATTTCTTTGCCATTGCCTCTTACCATCTCTGGTGTTACAGTTCTCTGTCTCTTCGATCAAGGAGGTTCAGTGCCTTGGGTGCATCTTGGGTCCAAAGGATACGCTCTACTCCTGGCTCTTCTTTCTGGATGATAGTGAGATCCTCCTTTCCTCCTTTGGGATGGCTCATCTTAAGCCTAGTAAGATGGCAAAACTGAATAATCCCTACATTAGGGTTCTGTACACTTTATTTCCATGGTCCCACCCCCACAAGGGTGCTATGTACCTTATTTATATCCACAAGTTATCTAGTCTGCTTCCAAACTAACTCACTGCCATCGAGTCAGATCCCACTCATAGCGACCCCTCCTTGGGTTTCTGAGGCAATATCATTTCAGAAGTAGATTGCCCAATCTTCCTTCCAAGGAGTGGCTGGTGGGTTTACAGTCAAATGCCTTAGGCACTATGCCACCAGAGCTCCTCCAGTCCCCTTGGTAGGCCACAAACACCTCACATTTGCAGAGTCCCACCCAGTCATCTTGTAGGAGTCACAAAGACCATGATTAGAAGGCCCATATTAAGTAATTCACTGTACCGCAGTACAGCAGTAAATTTTCAGTCAGTTCAAATAGAAGAGCAAATTAGGTACACCTGAGGAGCTCTGGTAGCATAGTGCCTAAGGCACTTGACTGCTCACCAGAAGGCTGGTGGTTCAAACCCACCAGCACTCCTCGGAAGGAAGGTTGGGCAATCCTACTTCCGTAGTGATACTGCCTTGGAAACCCAAGGAGGGGTCGCTATGAGTCGGGGCCGACTCGACGGCAAACAACAACAACAACTATGGGCTCTAAGACTCTGGCAGGGTTTCACATTTTTTAGTCAGCACCAATGGTATGGTGACAGTTGTAGACACCCTGGAAATGGAAGGATTCTTGTGGTATCCAGTGGGTAGCCTAATAGTACAGATGTGAGCAGAGAGCTCTCTTCCATAAGGGGAGGAGGCACAGCCAGTTGCTTTCGGAACTGACTTTTGCTTTAGTCACTTTTAAGACTTTGAATAGTCTGAGAACCCCTTGGTCTTCTCTGTGGCGCAGAGGCTATAGGGTTTTTTTTAATTTTTATTTATTTTTATTTTTATTGTGATTTGGGTGAAAGTTTACAGAGCAAATTCACTTTCCATCCAGCAGCTCACATACACTTTGTCTCATGACATTGACTGCAATTTCCTACAATGCAACATCTCCCATCTCATTTCCTCCCCCATAGTTACCTCTTCCTGTGTTGTAGGGTATTTTTTAAAAGCCCACCTTAGTTTGGTTTCTCCTAAAACTTTTCCTAAGATGGTAGAATACCCAGCAGACTGTAGGATTTATTTCCCTATTCATTGACCTTAGACTATCTTTGATTGGGAAGCAACTGTCTATGGCACCTAAAAGATGGAGCACTTCTTACATGTTTAGTCTGCTAGCTGGAGGTACCTGGAATAAATAGCAAAATCCTTTCAATAGGCCTGGAACATTGGTATGCAGGCTTGGAAGCTCTCTTTGATTAGTCTTTACCCTTTCTCCTTTAACCACCAGATGGCTCCCACTACAAACACAACTACAACAACCCTCTTGCGACTCAGTCCAGGAGCCTGAGACCATGATTATAGAACCCAACCAAGCACCTCAGGAAACAAAAAGAAAACACTCATAAGAGACCATATCTCTCTTCAGGTTCACTGCTTTTATTTTAGATTTGGAAGATTTCCTGTGTTTATTAGTGAAATCTCTTATATTGAACAAGTTGTGAGCCCTCTAGTGTAAGGTTTTAGATGTTCTAAAATTGAAAATTCCTTTTTTAATTGAATCATTTCTGGTCTTGCAGCTAGCTATAGAGTATTTTGGAGCCAATTACAGTTATTACTGTCAGTGATAAAGGCATAAGTTGCTCAGTAAAAATGAAAGAATTTATTCTTATTGGAAATAAGTATTTATTATTTATTATTATAATGGAAGTTTGATTTTTCAGTCTTCTTCTTACTAGAGTAACTGAAGCTAATTTTAGGTTTTACCCTGCTGATTAGAAAACATACCAAGAAAAGTAAAAATAATCATGGGACAAAACACTATAAAAATTGGTATAAGATGTGGGGGGAAATGAATCAAAATAAATAATCAAAAAGTTAAGTTGGACACTGGAACATATGCTATGGACAAACCACAGAAAGAAAGGTAATCTATTCATTATGTCAAGTACTTATTATCCATAGTGTTCCAAAAGGAGCTCTGGTGGCATAGTGGATAAGGTGGTTAGCTGCTAACCAGAGAGACAGCAGTTCAGACCCACCAGCGACTCTGCAGAAGGAAGATGGGACAATCTACTTCCATAAAGATTAACAGCCTCAGAAATCCAATGGAGGTCACTATGAGTCAAAATTGACTCCATGGTGTTTCAAGTTCCATAGCTACAAAAGTAAGGAAGAAGCTTAAAGTGTGATAAGAAAAAGAACTGCATTAAAAATCAGACATACAAGGCAGTATTAAAAGAAAAAAAAAAAAATCTGGGGATGAAAGCCAGAAGGAAAATCAGAAGGATTTAGGTTAACTAGCAGAGAGGTTTACTCAGTAACTAGAATTGATTATTAATGGCAAATACAGAATCACCTTCACTGGAGAATGAAAAATAAAGTAGATTTACTTCTCAGTAAAAAGGCTGAAACTGATTCTTTCTGAAAACAGAGTAATAGTTTAGAATGCTGATTTATTCAAGGCTTTTTCTAGGCATTCTAGTCTACATTCCACGTATTTATTTGTTCATTTTTAGATCATAAAAGAAATGGCTTTATTGCCTACTTTCTTTTATTTCCCTTCTCTCCTTAGCTGGCATTTTCCAGGCCATGTGTCTCCTGATCTGTGCTGAGATGTACCAGGTGTCCAGACTGCAGCACATCTGTGAGCTTTTCATCATTACACAGCTACAGAGCATGCCAAGCCGGGAACTGGCCTCCATGAACCTGGATATAGTTGACCTGCTCAAAAAAGCCAAGGTGATTGCCTCTATGTGTCTGGTGGTGGTGGTGGTTGTTTTTAACCTGGTAAAAAATTATACTACTCTTGTGAAATTTTTTTTGTTTGTTAAGAGATATATTGCTGATTGTAAGCCCACAGTAAGGAGAAAAGGACGCACAAAAGTGAGGTTAAAGAGACGTTTTTATTCTTAGTTTCCGGGGGAGGTTTACGGGCCCCCGAGAGGGGCCCGGGCGAGGTTCACAGGTCCCTGAGAGGGGCCTGGGAAGTCGCACCACCTGGCTGGGGAGGGGAGGGTTTATAGTCTTGTGGAGGACCTAAG